ATTTAGCTAAAAATGTTAGGAATTTTCTATTCTCTCTGTCATGCTATAAGCCATTCTCTGTTAAGCAACAAAACCACTATAACAAAACATAAGGATCCTTTAGGAGTTACTGTTTGTATTGACATGTTAGTGGGCCAGTATTAATGCACCTGAAAACTCTTACAACCAAAAACATTTTGAAGATCAGCTTAGTTTTGTTACATGTTATTGCATCAGGATCAAGCAGTCAAACTCCACCCCCATTAACCTTCTGGTGTTGGACCATCCACCTTATGACAGAGATAAAGAGGGCGGGGGACAAAAACTAAGAGGTAGAAAGAGGGATGCCTTTTGCTGGTTATGATTGGCATCGACTCCCTTGTCCAAATGTCTTTGGAAAGTTCTAATTTCTCTGTCCCACTAATGGGATTCTTCTTCACGTTCCCCAACCCAAAACAAATTTATTTCAACCCAAAAAGATAAAAACATTTAAGCATCTTCCCCTTTTCCCACTACTACACACAATTGGTTTTTCTCTCACGCCAAAAATTCTTAAATATGAATGTTTATGTCACGTTATTTTGTATGCTAAAGACACATTTTCTTCATGTGCATACATCAAAATGGGCGGATTAGTGACATGATAGGAATGCTGTGCCCAATCATTTGTCCTCTCATACCCCCTCATAGCTAGGTATTTGTAGCTAAAGGACGTTTAGTTTTTGCCAACTCAAGGCAACTCAGTGACCAGTTCCCATTCGTGATAGAGATGGTGCTTCAGCATCAGCTTCAGATCAAGAAGGCATGGATTCTTTCTTCACGTTTGGCTGTGTGATTTGGGTACTGCATCTTTTTAACAGTAAATACCACATCTGAGAAGTCCTTTTCTTGTTTCAGATTACCCATTTTTCTGTTAGTTTATAAGACCAAGCATAAAATCAAAGATACATTTACTAAGAATTTCCCCTGTGTATCATTGCATTATTCGTTCTTTAAATGCAGACCCCATTTTGGTATCAATAATATCAAAAAAAGTGGAATTGAATCATTGTTGAATGATTAACTTAACGAAAACAGACATTTCCCATCAGTCAAGAATTTGCCCGACATATATGGAGGCAGATTGTCTGTGCTCCTGTTTGGGTGTCTTTCTCATCCCCTCCTATTATGTGCGGTCACGGTTAAGACATATTAACATTTTATATTGATTTTTTTATAGAGATAATTAGATAAAAAACAATAAGAATATAAAATGTTGACGTAGCTTACCCGTGACCGCACAAATAGGAGAGGATGAGAAGGGCATCCAAACATGAGGGCAGACAATCTGCCTCCGACATATATTTGTTTGATAAAAAACACCTGATGAAGTTCTTGTATTTTTCTATATGTTATGGATTTTATTTAACATTTTCATATTAAAAAATAGGAAAATATAGTGAAAGAAAACAAGAACAAGGCCACCCTGACTCGGAAGCTGCAGTTTCTCTCCTCCTATTTCTTTTGAATTTCAAATTTCACAATTCACATACACTTCTAATTTGTCTTGTTTTACCATTCAAGTTGCATTTCATTGCATGGTTGACATCTTGGTTAGCGTATATTGCAGGTAACTGTTGTTTATGTCCCCTAATTAAGTTGTTAAAATAAACTTAATTAGCTATAGGACAGACATTAGATTCATTAAAAATCAATGGCAAATTGTTTTGTTTAACCTAATTCTTTGGAAAACTAACAACTTTCTGTGAGAAATCTCAGTAACATGGAACTCTGAACCCTACACTCTTTGGTCCTTGTAGTAAGGATGTCATTTTTCGCGGTCCACAAACTAAAGAATATTAGTAATGCAACTTATAAATCCAAATTTCCATGGAGGATGTCTGTCAGTTTTGATTTGAAAATTAAAGATTCTCCTACTCTTGAATTGAATACATATATTTTTTTCTTGGTATTAATCTAATATTTTTGGCATTGAGAAACCATCCAACTGACTTGAATAAACAGTTGATAATAAGATAAAATAGAAGTTTCATCTGTTTATTTATTGGAAACAAAATCTTTAACTTGTACTAAAAATGGAGATTAAAATGGCAGATGGATCCAAAGGGAAATTAACCATATTTTCTGTCTCTACCCTCAATGCCCAATGAAGGATCCCCACGCAAAGATCATATTATTGAAAAGACTCTGATGCTAAACAAACCAACCATAAGGCAGCTAAGAATAAAGAGAAGTGAATCATGATTTGTATATATTTGTGTTCCTTGATTTATTCAATTTAAATGCTAGAAATAAACATATAACCGGAGGGAAAGAAAATGAATGTGCAAAAGTTACTCTCCATAACACGAGAGTCCTTTTCATTTCAACTGATGCGTCTATTATTTTACCAACAAAGGTCAATCATAGGAAGTGTTTTGTGGATTCAAACAAATGTTGGTCTAGCACACGCTAAACACCACAAATCAAAGCAACTACCATCCATAGATTGATATAAGTACATGGTGAAATGTTAGACCACATGGATAGTGAAGAAGAAATCAACATCCAAAAATCTCAAAATCTCTTGAGAGCCTCCATTTCAATTTTCTAAAGGGATCCCAAATATCAGGACCAGCTTTAAGTACACATTCATAATTGCTAAGTGTACATTGACGATCGAAAGAAGCACTTCAGAATGCTGATAACTTTGGATTTTTCCTTCATTTTCAAATTTTTATTTTCCTTTTCACCTTTCTTATGTCTTGATTTTTGGCTTTTTGGACTAATCAAATCCATATTTTCAGTCTGAAATAAACAAGTGCTGATCCTAGCTAGGGTCTATAATATACTTTCTACACTCATGCAGGTGCCCTAGGGTTTTGGTTTCTGCAATCTCACTATAAAAGGCACCCAGTAAACAATTCATAGAATTTTTTTTACTAAAACAACCCTTCCTCTCACTTTCTTCTCACTTTTCTCTCACTTTTCTCTCATTGCTCAGACCAAAATAAAGAGCATCTCTCATTGCAGTGAAAAACGAAACTTTTTCTTATTCTTTTTCCCAATTAGGTGAATATCACGACAAAAGGAGAGACTGGCCACCCCACCGCACTGGCCATTTCATCTTTTTCTTTTGTATTGGTATTGGAAAAATTGGAAAAGGTCAAGCCCTAATAATATTAAGCATTATTTTATGTGTGGATTCTGTGACAAACGTTAGTTTCCTTGACGCTGAAGGACAGTTAGGGCATCCACCTGTGTTTTTTCTCAAAAGAGAGTTTTTTTGGGAAATTTCTCAAAAGAGAAAACTCTCAAATCCTTCTTCCTTTTCCAGCATCCTATGTCTTCTTTATCCTTCACCTTTCATCACTTTTGATGGAGGCTCCTCTTTAATTTGCTTTTCTTCAAAAAAAAACTTGCCACCCAGTCGTTATTGGACACAACCCATTTTTGGCTTTTGCTCTCAATTGGCTTGGTTCACTTGGACTTACTCATTGGCCTTCTGAGCCATGGTAAAAATCCATTTCTCAAGCAATTCCTTAGTTGTATATCTAAAATTCCAAGTTACGTGGACTTAGAACCACTGCAACCCTAAAATAACATGCAACTAACTTTTCTTGAAAACTTGGTTTATATTCACGAATCAACTTGAGTGCCATTTAACGAACTAGTATACATTATCATTCCTAAGAATAACGTTCCATCTTCGATACACAATGTAAACAAATTAATGTTTCATTGAATGTAAGTGACAAAATATAACCATTTGATGTGGCTTTAGCAATAGGAAAGTAAATTTGAATATAACTCAAGGATAAATGATTTTCACTCATTCATCTTTTCCTTCTCCATTATTTTTGTTATTTAATTCTCTTTTGCTTTATTCAATTTAACGACCTAGAGAAAGACATGTCTAGGGGAAGAAAATAGAGTGGGAAAACCATTGCATATAAAACTATAAATTTAATTATGTGCCCGAAATTCTTTGTTTTGTTCCCCTTCTTCCCAATATCACATGTATTTGAGAGTAAATTATGGAGACGGAAAATTCTTATAACTCAAAGTGATTAGAGTATTACACTCAAATTCTTAGGTCGATTTCTCCCTCTAATTATCACTCATATCAACTAAGAAAAAGTAAAAACTAGATGCTGGTATAATAAATAATTATAATTATTGTCATGTGTATTTTCCCTTTCTAATACAAAGCAATGGTATATATGCAATGAATTGAGATCCTCTTTGGATTTATGTGTTCGGAGTCGATGGATTAGGAGTTCAGACCACTTATTTTAAATCTTGCAATCTCTATTAGTCCGTCTTACTGACCCACCTCACATAAATTAAGGATCCGGATCTCTTTTTTCAATGACCTGAATTTTCTAGTCTTATACTCCAAGCACATAGATTCGAAGAGAATCTCAATTAGAATGCATTGCTACATATGTAGGTCATACTAGAGTCTTGGGCCAGTGACCATAGATCAATCAGCATGGGACAAGGTGGAGGGACGGTCACCAACTCCCACTTGTTTCACAACAAGAGAAGAGAATGTTGAAATTTTGATGATGTTATTTAACTTACGTTTATGACACAAAAAAATTAATTAAAACTTTATGTAATGATATGTTTACATTAAAGAATATCCGAGTAAATTGATCCATAACTCATTACTTAACCATTAACAATCTCACTTAAAAATGAAAATAAATACCTTTAGATCATAAAATAAGTGACAAACAATTAATAAAATATAAATCATGACTAACGCACACTATACATCCACAGTCAGTCACAGCCGCTATTTATCGGAGGAGGATTGTCTGCCCTCCAAGTTCCCGTGCCCTCCCATGCCCTCCTGATTGTGTGGTCACGGTTAAACCACGTTAATATTTTATATTATTATTCATTTTTGTTTTATTATCTTTATAAAAAAATAATATAAAATATTAACGTGACTTAACCGTGACCACACAAAACAGGAGGGCATGGAAGGGCACCGAAACTTGGAGGGCAGACAATCCTCCTCCCTATTTATCACCCTCCCATTTGTCCTCTGGCTGAGTGAAAGAGAAAGAAAGAAAATTGTCCACTTTTGCAACCCTTTGACATTCAGGGGTATTCCATTAATACCACAACAAGTCCATGCCAGCTTTTCTTCTCCCGCTAAACCCCCCACGACCTGGTTTTTCCTTCTTTTGAACGTAAAGCCAAAGCTAAAGCCAGCTCCCCCCCCGGGGCAGAAAAGCTCAAAAAAACAGTCATATCTTCACAGAGAAGCTCCCCGGTCAAAAGTGTCCTCTTTTCTGAGTCGTTTTTTGTGGGTTTTAGGCACCAATTCAGCTCTGCAATTTTCACCAGCAAGTGTCACTTTGTGGGGTCTTTTTTTTTTTTTCGGGAAGGTGAAAAATGCAAGTGAGAAAGTTAAAGTTTTGGACTTTGGAGTCTGATTAGAGGCGTTTGAGAAATTTGCCCTCACTTCTGGGTTCGTGGGTAAGTGGTAAATTTTATTTCCCGTGTTTTTCTGTGTTGGAATCTTTTTGTTTTTGCCTCAGTAAAATATTTACCGTTCTGTTTTGGGATGATTTTTGCAGAGATTAAGGCGGTTTGGAGGGATGAGCGGTGGTGAAGGTAAAATGCTGGGATTAAGTGTGAAACAACACAAGCGTTCAAAAAGGTAGCTTTTTAATTTTTTTTTTTTTATTTTATACAAACGATAGCTGAGTTAAATTGTTAAATGTTAATATCGTTTGTTAAAAGAAATTGTTAAATGTTAGAGGGAAGGAGGATGGGTGGGGATCGAACCGCCTGGGGTACCGTGATTTCCGTCACTGCAGTAAAGCGTAATTACTAAGTATATTTTTCGGTGATAACTCCCGAAATTTATGTTTTTTTGTTAGCTTGCTGTCACTGTTCTTACACTTTTGCGTTATTTTAGTATGCATACTTGTTGAAATTCTTGAACTGGAAGAATTTGTGGGGTGGATTATTTGGGACAAATGGGAATCTGAGCTTTCACAGCTGCAAGGAATTTTTCTTCAAGTGACAACACTGAATTTCTACTAACCCGCATTTATTGGATTCAGACAGAAAACAAAACCTCCACTTTGGCCTGTTACAAATTTGCTGCTCAATTATTCTTTATGGATGGAAGCCTCAGTTATTTTTAATTGATGCGATTCAGAGCCTAAGAGAGAGAAAAACTTGAGAGTTCTTTGATTCATTGAGACCCTTCGATTTCAGGTGTTTTTTGTTTGGAATTTCGGGTTTTATCCATGAAATTTTTTTTTTTTTCATTTCTCTTCTGAAAATTTATAGCTTTTCCTCCCAAAGTCTTTTGTATTTTCATGAGCAGTTGAGGGTACTGAATTTTTTTTCACTTCTGTGCGAAAATTATATTTTTTAAATATTAATTTCGCTTTCTCTAAATCTTTCCCAACTTTGTTTTCCTCTTAAAGTTTGTAATCATGAGTAGTACAGGATATTGAACCCGAATTTTTTTTGTTCCTCTTGTTTGAGAAGAATACGTTGAGGTTTTGCTTGTGAATGGACAAATCATATATGCAGTGGCCTACTTGTGGAATGAAAGACGGCAAATGCCCTCTTCTTCAATCAATATCAGTTAATTCATTTGTTTACACTTATGCATTGCTAGCTTTCCTGAGAAGAAAAGAGTGGAGGAAGATGATTTGGATGGTTCCGGTGAAGCATCAGACCTTGTAAAGCTGGTATGATCACTACTACATTTTACATGTTTGCCTATATTACTTCATGATCATTATCTTATAAAGAAGGTTATATATCTTAGAGCTAGTGATCTTAGTAGCTTATTGTTTGTTTGACTACCTATTACAATAAGTGCTAAATTAACGATCTTAAGCTTAGTGCCAGGCTGCCAGCTCGAACAGTACATATTGGCCCCTCTAATTTTCCTTCTTTTCCAGATATTTAATCTTAACTACAAGTTCATATAATGTTAAATAAGTTATAGAGTTGTTATGTCTTAAAAATTATACCTATTGCCATAGATGGGATATATTCTTTATTGAAGCAAGTTGAATAAACTGTAATTATTTTGATTATTCACGCATTAAAATTCTGAACTCTGGCATCGAAAAATAACTTTAAATCTGACTTATGGATTGGATCTAAAACCAGGATATGGGACAATTCAAGGGCCATGTTACGACCAAGAAGAAACAATCTCCTACCGTGGAAGTACACAACTCTTTAAAGCAAGAGGTATACCAAAATTGTATATCTTTATATTCAGGTTCGGGAGATTCTGGATTATTATATCCAACCCATTATGCTCAAGCGTGCTCCAGCTTTAACTTTGCTTACTGATGTTAGATGTGTTAGATATTTTGTACACAGATTCTACAGCTTGAGAAAAGATTACAAGATCAATTCAAGGTCCGTCATGCTTTAGAAAACTCATTGGGTTATAGGTCTTCCATCCATCATAATACAACTGCAAGTGTGATGCCTAAGGTAGCTTTTCTGCCTTCATATTAAATTTTCTTTTTATTTTTAATATATATGAATATTTAACAGGGATAATTACATATCTGCATAGTACATACATGCTCTATTTCTGTCATATTCTGTTGCAAATTGCAATGTAAATTTTATCTGACATCTTGACACTGCTTTTATGTAACTCCAGCCAGCCACAGAATTGATTAAGGAGATTGCTGTGTTAGAATTAGAAGTTGTGCATTTGGAACAATATCTTCTCTCATTGTATAGGAGAGCATTTGATGGGAAATTTTCCTCTGTTTCCCCATCTAAGAAGGATGAACGACTAAAACCAACTCTAACAAGCCCAAGAATCAGATTCCTGGAAGTTTCTGAACCTGATATGCCATTGGAGAGGGAAAACTTGGCAGTTCAATCCAGTGGTCAGTCACTTGAAAATTCACAGAAGGAATTCAATGCAATTGGAGGAGAAGAGAAACTATTAGATTCCAGTGTTCACCGTTGCCACTCCTCACTTTCGCAACGCTCTGCATTCTTAAGTAGAACTTCTCCAGAAGAGTCTTTGGCAAACACTTTGCGTTCCTGTCATTCTCAACCGTTGTCTATGATGGAGGTAACTTCCATGCATTGTTTTAATAATTTTCTTGTTAAAGTCTGTTCCCTAAAAATGCTTGTTATTTTCTATCACCACACATCATGGCATAAGCTGCTTTACTTCACCATTTTTAATGAATAAGATCCTTATGTGTGGTGATATTCTTGTAATAGTGACAATTATGGGAAACCTAACTTTAGAGGGTTTAACTTCTTGTCATGATATGTACGGATATTTGGAGGTTTTTTTCTGGATTATGACTGTCAATTGTTTTTCCAGTATGCTCAGAATACTTCGTCAAATTTAATTAGTCTGGCAGAGCATCTTGGTACACGCATTGCTGATCATATTCCAGAGACACCTAACAGGCTTTCAGAGGACATGATCAAGTGCATGTCCACCATATATTGCAAGCTTTCCGAATCACTCTTGTCACATAATGGCCTTTCATCTCCCAATTCATCTTTGTCATCAACAAGTGCATTTTCACCACGAGATCAGAGTGACATGTGGAGTCCACGATGTAGGAATAATTCATCTTTTGATGTACGATTGGATAATCCTTTTCATATTGAAGGACTTAAAGAGTTTAGTGGGCCATACAGCACAATGGTTGAAGTGCCATGGATTTATAGAGATAGTAAAAAACTAGGCGATATCGAGCACTTGCTACAACATTTCAGGTGAGCCTTTATGTCCCATCTGAAGTAAATTCCATATGCTCTTGACATAATCATTATGCTTATGGAGTTATCCTGTTACAGGTCACTTATCTGTAGGTTAGAGGAAGTAGATCCAAGAAAGTTGGAAAATGATGAGAAGTTAGCGTTCTGGATTAATGTACACAATACATTGGTTATGCATGTAAGGTTCACCACCTTTAATATACTGGTTTACATTGCGATCTTCTTTGGATGTTTGTTACCGGATTGTAATCAATATTCTGTGTCTGACAGGCGTATTTGGCTTATGGGGTTCCTCAAAACAATGTAAAGAGAGTATTTTTGCTTTTGAAGGTAAGAATAGTTCCACGGGCTTTACTTAGGGGAAAACATTGAGTACCGGCTTTGATTTACTTGGTTTCTTTTACTATCCAGGCTGCTTATAACATTGGGGGTCACACAATCAGCGCAGACACAATGCAAAGCTCTATCCTTGGATGCCGGATGTCTCGCCCGGGACAGGTAGGTCATAAGACACACATGCACGTGCACTCTGAAGCATTATGAAACGCTTGGTTTTTACTTAATATTTGTATGGAATTCAAACATACAACAGTATATCTCTGCTTGCAGTGGCTTCGTTTGTTACTTACTCCAAGGACGAAGTTCAAGACTGGAGATGAACGGCAAGCATATGCAATTGACCATCCGGAACCCCTTCTACACTTTGCACTGTGTTCAGGAAGCCATTCTGATCCTGCGGTACTTCATTAACTTCATTTTTCTTTTATTGAGTTTATGTCTACCATTAATTCATGAATGCTAAAGCTTTGCTGCCTCAGAATTACAGTTTTCTTACTCTTTCAAACTAACACTAGTTTTTTCTGTTAAGGTTTGATTCCCTTGCACGGTAACCAAACAAAAACAAAAATTTCTTTGAGGTTACTTTTCCACATTACACCAAAAAGGAAAATGATAATAAAGTCAACAAGTATGTTTGAATACCTTGATCTGCTCTTAGCTTTTTATGTTTTTACTTGTGAGGAATTGTATGAACCGTCCATGATCTTTTTCAGGTTCGTGTATACACACCCAAGAGGGTATATCAGGATCTGGAAGCTGCAAAGGACGAGTACATTCGAGCTACCTTTGGAGTGCGCAAGGACCACAAAATTCTTCTACCGAAGATTGTTGAGGCATTTGCAAAAAGTTCGGGTTTGTGTCCAGTTGGTGTTTTAGAGATGATCCAACAGACTTTGCCTGAATCATTGAGGAAGAGTGTCAAGAAATGCCAGCTTGGGAAACACCGCAAGAGCATCGAGTATATTCCTCACAACTTCACATTTCGGTATTTAATTTCTAAAGAGCTGGTGAAGTGAACGGTTGCATAGGGTCCCATAAATTCATGTAATCTGCATTGTTGTCAAGGTTTTTATGGTAAAGAAATCGTCTCTCTTCTGTACAAAGTAGAATATGAACCCGGAAAAATCAAAGTAGAAAGAAGTGATGGCTAGAGAATAGATGGGGGATTTTAGCACTGTAAATATATCTTTTGTTTCCCTGAAACCATCATTATTAATAGTAAAATCGATTGCAATTTCATGTGTCAATGAACTCTGCACGTGAGAGTCACGTGTTTATTAGCAGTTTTCTGTGTCGGTGGAAATTGAATTCTTCTTATGTAATGTACAGTGTACCCATTTTTTGGATCACAAGAATCATCCAAATTCCAAATTTTGGTTTTTGCATCATATATTTCTTGGATCTCTCAAATCCATTTTCTTACTGTATAATCACAGAAATGCAACTGTATTCTGCAACCCAAAAAACACAAAACAAATCACAAACGCAGAGAGAAAGGAGATCTGAAGAACCATAGTGATTACATTATATATTTAGCAGCAAAAGACCCTTATACATTTGCCTAATTTACTTCAAACACCCTAAGTGCAACACATTATTGCTAATTAACCCCTCAACATCATAGATCCCAACACTTGCAAAAACTACACCCAAATTAGCTTCAACTTCAACTTCAATAAGTTCGAGAAAACTTACCTACACCTGGAATGCCACCATGACAGGTAGCGTGATTGGCTTAAGATTTCGCCACTGTAACATCCTAGTGCAAGGAAGTTCTTTTCTTCCTTTAGTACGGGCTCTCCCCTACAACATTCCCAGGAGGATTATAAAAACAAATGCTCAAGCTGCTCTGTTCTTTGACACATGTAGCCTGAGCACACCCAAGCTCCAAAGACTTCCTCCACACCACCTGGGTGTACACACCACACCAGTGATTTGGCACACAAGAGTTCCCACTGTGGTTGTAGAAGTCCTTCTCTTTGACCCAAGTGTCCACAACCATGGTTGGACTCACTGACTGCCCACTTGCCCACAGCTGATTGGCTCCATACTTGCTGCCACTGGTGATGTTAGCAAAGTTGCAGGCTTGGTTGTTTCTTTGGTACCTCACTAGCCTGCTTGTTGCATTGGCCAATGACTCACTCCACTTGAGCGGCTCAACACCCACTGCGGCTCTGGCTTGGTTGTGAGCTTGGAGGTACTCTCTGGCTGAAGGGTTGGAGCTTGGCGCCTGAGCCGCTGCAACATGGACTGAGCTGATGGCTAGAGCCAGGGCTGCTAGGACTAGCAAGGGATGATGATGAGCCATTTGATCTTTGATCTGGTGTTTGATGTGATCAAATATTTTCTTGTGTCTAGTTATTTATAGAAAGACTGTTGGTGAAGGGATATGCAGTGGAGGTACTAATTACTAGTTTGCCCTTCTTTGTGAGAGTACTGTGGAAAGTATATAACTGTATTAATTGATCACATAACTTCTTATTGATGTGCTAATTGGTAGGTCATCATAATAATTGGTAGTAATTGTTGGACAATCATTAACCAAGTTGGAGTATTTTGTACGTGATGGGATCATTGGTTGTTCTTGATCTTGATAACTCCACAAATTCCATGTATATTTATATGTATATTGTATTTGACCGTACAAACAGCTAAGGCAAATTAAATCACCTCTTCCTCCTACTTCTATTTTCCTTATCATATTTGTCTTCATTTCCTCTCTTGTATGAAATACTTTAATTGAAAAGTCTTGGCAGTCTTCAACATTACTCTATTGTATATCTTGCATCCACCCATGACAAGCCTCTACAAATAATAGTAGTTGACGACATATGTTGACATAAACTTTCGGCACATGTTGACATATGCTCAACGTAATGACCCAATGAAACTTTTTGGTTCATATTATGACCCCATTACTTGAAAGTTTAAAGTGATGGCTACGCCACTGCGTAGAAAGGATGCTACTCAACTTTCACACTGAATTTTACAAATAAACCACATGGAGAAGGAGAATTGAACTTCTCAAATTAATGAGACAAACATAGGCAACCAACAAAGAACTCAGGATTGGACTTAAGACGACTTGCAAAAAAGATTCTGATCTCATGTTAAAAAATCATTACCCCCTAAAATCCTAAAGCGTGAGAGGCGACGGGCCAAATAATATAAATCAGGCTTATAGGAATGAGTACATATTAATTATCGCATCAGAGGCTAGAATCAGAAGATTTGGCATCCAACTTTAACTTTATTTAATTAGTGGCACATGAGGCCCTAATATCGGACTATCTGTGACACATAACCTAACCCCTCCTGGCTCCTGCTAACAGGGGATTTGCCCTTGTTAAGTTCGCTGGAGGATTATAAAAACAAAAAGAGTTAAACTAGTTTACTCCTTGACACACTTGGCCTCAGCACACCCCAACTCCGAAGAATTTCTCCACACAACCTGCGTATACGAACGACTCATGATTCGGCGCACAGGGGTTGTTGTCGTGGTTATAGTACTGCTTCTCCGCCACCCAGGATTCCACAGCCAATTAGGGTTTGGTGCTCGGGCAGCACTAAATTATTTCAATTCAACTGGATTAAAATTAATGTCATGTTTGTTGTTTTGTTAACTTATAATTGTTGATTCTAAACCAGTTGAATTGGATAACAATCCAACTTACAAGTCTCATCTAGAGCGGTGAGACTTCATAGGACTAACTTGTGCTTAACTTCAATCTTATCCAGTTTTACCACCTAGTAATACGGTCTAGTGGTATTCCTCTTCACTTGTAAGTGAGAGATCTTAAGTTCGATTTTCACCAGATGTGAATTTGACCACATTATTGCTAGCCCTTATGATGCTTAACCTACCTCATCTCCGTTAATGTACAAATAATATTGTTTGTTCAAAAAAAAAAAAAAAAAAAAAAATCTTATCCGGTCTCGCCGCCGAGCAAGTCATGGTATATTCCTTCTAATCAAAATTCAAAAGGAGTATTGATTGTTCATTCAAGAAAATCCCAGCGATGGAGTTGGTTAATGGTTGAATAGTAAATTGATTCAAGAGTCGGCGTAGCATGTACGTTCCCTAATTCACCAAATTTACATAAATTTCCCACGTCAATGCACGTGTGCACGTTGACTGCTATCTGTGGCTACTGGCTATAGAAGTCGTCAGCCTCTTGGAACCGTGACCTCAATTTATAGCTTCGGCGTTACAACCTACACGACAACCACCTTGTGATGGTGGTCGCTTTTAAAACCCCCGCAGATGCATGAATTTGTATTGACGCATAAGAGATGAATAAATGACGTAGAAGAGACGTTGCGCTCTTATTGAATTATGACACGTTCTTTAAAACGCGTCATGTCTTTAAGAAAAAACGAAAGTTTTGCACAATCTGTTTTTTGTTGTTCTAATGGTTAGGGGTTTCATTTTCAAATAACTGCGTCTCGAGTTCAAACCCTTCCTCCTATTCTTAGTGTAGAATATCAAATGTACTCAAAAAATAAAAGTCTTGTATAATACATTTTTGCTCACCACCCCTTCGATTAATATTAGATTAATATGATTTTAAACGAGTTTGATTTAATCTACTATTACACAAATTTCAAATTTAAATTCATCTATAATTATCAATAGAATTAGAAGCATCACTACCACTTAATTGCTATGTACAAAAATATTTCAGAACTAGAGAACATTATTTTTGCAGACACCTTATCTATCAATGTAAAGTTCGGGCCTAATTTAGTATGGCTCAGGCCCAAATAACTCAACTGTGTTGGGCCTGTGCCCACATGCACTGCCTCCCCCTTGCCAAATAATGCCTGCCTAATAAAGCCTGCCTCAGTAAAACACTAGTCCTTCCCCTTTTCCCAATTTTTTTTTTTTTCGGGTAGTCCTACATTCTTGCATACACCGGCGGCTTTTGATACCGGAAAAATAGAAAAATGGTCCCCAATTTTCTCATCGCAAAATATCAAAATGTGTTTCACTACATCACTGCATTCGATCACAAAAATAAATAAAAAACTTATTATCCAAAAAATAAAAATTCAGGGAAAATTGAGCTTTGAAGTTAGGCGACCACCGTCTCTGGCCAATGGCCATCGCAGAGCTGGCCTTGATGGCCAGATCGCAGAGGTCCGGCAGAGAGAGGGGCTTCTGGGTCTGACGCAGTGGCAGCAGGAAGTAAATTTGGCCCGGCTGGAGCTCCTCCTCGTCGGGCACGTGGGTCAAGCACGTGCCGATGGACATGGTTTCGGAGTTGCAGAGGAAATGATTGGGATCTGGGAAGTGATGTGCTTTGATTGGGTTGGTCGCTTCAACTCTTGCATCCGACCGTCCGCGTCGATCACTAAGCTGCTTGTCGGCCGTCCGATCGCATCTGGTCGCGGTGCTCCTCCTCCTCTGCTTTTTGTGCTGGTCGGAGTGGAAGCACAGACGCCCATAATTTTGGGATTTTCACTGGGAGATGGGGGGAGAGACGGAGTGGCAGAGAAAGAAAGGCTGCTTCTTTTTAACTTGGTTCGTTGGTTTTACTTTACTTTTTAACATGGACTGATTAATGTGTTTGTATGACCACTAGGCCAAGATGAATTAAGAATTAAGGAATTTATGTAATTTTTACAACAATATATTTATATTAAGAGGTAAAAGATTGAGCTACCATCATATAATATTTCTGTCATAATAATTTATTTACAAACTAACAACACATAAGAGTTGAACTTAAAATATCTTACTAAGTGACTTTGTACAACGCTAAGGTATAGGACTACGTGACTTTATATACTGCCAATGTACAAGATTAGATTGGAATGAATACGAAACTATATTTTAAGGTAGGTTTATACATTTCAACTTAAAAATAGAAGATGAATTAGTTATTAAGAAAACTTATCTGTTCCAATTTCTAACATAATGAGAGGATTAAAAAGAGCAAAATTTCCTTTACGTTTAATACCCTTGAAATGAAAATTCATCCACATCTATTTTCAACAGACCTTGAATTTTATAAATTATCTATTCCTGTGAGTATCTAGAGATCATACAAGGCCTAAAGAGTTTAATGAAATACAATCTTAAGTAATAGACTACTATCTTGCATACGTATTGTGTTCCATCAAATAACTTATACATGGATCGAACATTTGTTTTGTTTGTATTTCTGTGATACAAAGTTAGGAGAAGAATTAGCGTTGTGATGAATATATTCCATTTGCACTATGGTGCGGGTTCGACCTTTAATGATCATCTGTCTCTTAACATTTAACAAGTTAGCTTACTAATGCTATCATTTAAAAAAAAAAAAAAAATATATATATATATATATATATCACAACATATATATCACAAAGATCTTTATATGATTCTATTAATATTCATATTAATTGTTTAATGCTCTAAAGTGCACATCTCCAATCACCATTGTAGACGAAAAGGCTTTAAGTTTATTTCATTACACAATAATATTTTATTTAGCAACTGCTATGATAATTTTCTGACAGTTTCGAAAAAAAAAAATAAAAGGCAAGCGATAAGCTAGTTTGAATTAGAAGGAGAGAAATTCAATTCGAATGAATGGGATTGATGTGATTTAAGTGGAAACGGACTATAAGGGGCTTGTGAATATGATCAACGGAACAATATAACCAAACGTTGTTATCGAAAATCTTTTCTTTGACATTAAGTATGTGCAAATGCAATTGAGGTTAATAGAGTTTATATGTGCTCCCCGAAGTTGTAATATAGCAGCATATTTTGACTTCGTTTGTCTCTTGTATAGGTGGTGTTCATACATGGGATTCTTTTGAACCAAAATGATTGTTCAATACTCTAACTTTTGATGTAAACGTTGCAATTCGAGTTTAATAATACTTATCTTTTGAAAGAAAAAAAAAAGGAGGGTGCTAGTCGCTTTTACTGTGGAATAAGTAGGGAAATAAACAAAGTATTTGTCGTATGACATTGATACGGGATTTTCTTAAATAAAAATTTTACATGAGCGTTATCAAAAGCATATATGAAAAGTAGCATTTTATGGATGTGAAAGCCGGTTTGATAAATGTTGATTGGTCAAATTAATAATTTCTGTTACTGTCAATACAATACGTGTTCGGAAGACTTAAAATGAACTTAATCCATTTTTGACATAAAGTTTTTTTTTTTGGGCAATTGGAAATCCATTTTTGACATAGAGTTATTTTCTTTTGACATAGAGTTAGAGACTCATACAGAAGTACCTGGAAGTTGCTAGAGAGTTGGAGACTCGTACCTGGAAGTAGTTCATGACCTTCTAAATAAGCACATGCCCTCCGCTTTTCAAGACAACGTTTTTATGACTTATAAACGTTTTA